ACTATCACCTATAATTAAAAAAAATTGTTCATATTTTGTTAAAAAAAAATTTGCAAAATAAAAAAAAATCAGAAGTTGTATTTAAAACAAAATTTTTTCTTTACTGTTAAAATAAATTATTTTCGAATATAAAATTTCGATTTCTTTTTATTTTAGGAACATTATTCGATACATTTAATGGAATTTATTATAGAAAATATGATATTATAATTTAAAAAGCGAACAACACCTTAACAAAACTAAAATTTTATTAGCAACATATTACACCATAGTTTTTTTTTTTTTTTTTTTTTTTTTTTTTTTTTTTTTTTTTTTTTTGAATACTACTGACTCTATTACAAATTTATAACATATATTCTAATCATATGAACAACAACTACAATTGGAACATCGATTCTGTTGCTGTTGGCAGAAATCACATAAGATGCACATCTTTGTCTTTTACGATCCCTTTAGGCATCAACAATCTTCACGGGAAGAAACACAAAGTCCGTAGGATCAGTCTTTCTGCTACTCCGAGCCAAGAGGACCCATTGCCTCTTGTAACCATGAAGATAAAATTTATATATATATATATATATATATATATATATATATATATATATATATATATATATATATATATATATATATATATATATTAATACTTGTTGAGCCTTTGATGGTGATCCTAGACACTTCCTCAAGGAGTCAAAGAACCACAAGGAGAATGATGGTGGAGGAGAGGAGTGTCCAACCCAACCAATAGGCCCAGATAGTATCAAATTTTCAATTAAAATCCACAACATATTTTTATTAAGAATAAAAATATGTCGCGAGAATTAATTGTAAATTGTTTGCTAATCGCGAGAATTAATTGTAAGTTAATCAAAAACACTAACTCCGCATAATTTGTATCTGCAAATCAAACAAAAAATTTTTTAATTACAGCCCGACACAAATAAATTCTGTATAAAAAAATATTTTTGCAAATAAAGATATACACATTAACGGAATACTATATATACATACATAAATTTACAACATATACATATATACAGAGTATATAATACGCTTACTTTTTCTTTTTGTTTCTCCGAAAAGTTGAAAATCTTCGCCACATCCTTTTAGTACCGTATTTGTGCATTACGACTGTGAACATTAAAAATGATAATATTATACACGTTTGTGTTTTGTGTTCATAGTAAGCCATTTACATGCAAGAGTACACTTTATTTATAGCCATGAAGTCCTCATTAACATTACTTGTGCTGAGCAACTCCGGTTGAGAACTCCAAAATGGCATATAGGGCCCCATGTGGGCTGTCAGACGAGACATCATATCTCGCCTAACAGCCCACATGCTAGCTGGCGGAACTGCGCCTCATCGGGCAGTGTACCGAGGCAAGAAGTCTCGGCTGACTGCCCCATGTGGGCTGTCAGTCGAGACATCTTGTCTCGCCTGACAGCTCCGCCTGCTAGCTGTCGGAGCTGCATCATCGGGCAGTGTACCAAGAAAAGAAGTCTCGGCTGACTACCCCATGTGGGCTGTCAGCCGAGACCTCTTGTCTCGGCGTCTCCGCGTACTCACCCAATGTTGTGAGCACGCGGAGCGGTCCACACGGAGCTGTCAGCCGAGACAAGATGTCTCGGTTGATTGCCCCATGTGGGCTGTTAGCCGAGACCTCTTGTCTCAGCTGACAACTCCGCGTGCTCACCCAATTTTGTGAGCACGCGGACCGGTCCACACGGGGTAGTGCACCAAGACATGACGTCTCGGCTGACTGCCCCATGTGGGCTGTCAGCCGAGACCTCTTGTCTCGGCTGACACCGCCGTGGTCACCCATCTAAGATGGGTGACCAGGCGGTGCTATCCACAACGGTCAGTCAACCGATGCAAGTCTCAGCTGACTGACCCATGTGGCCTGTCAGCTACGCGTGCTCCCCAAACAGGGGCTGAGAGCACGCAAATGGCTACAATGGCCGTTGAAATACCACGTGTAGATATATTATGTTATTTCTATCTACACACTAAAATTACTTCTAATATATGAACTATCATACTTTAAATACTCGGGTCAGGTCAGATATCACATGGTTTGTGCAATTAATAATTAAATTTTTTGAATGAATTATACAACCTTCAGTATAAATATGTCCATTTACCTACATGAGTCTAACTGAGCTTATTATATCCCTTCCTTCATCATAATTCCCTACAACTTTCTTTCTTCACATCTTCTACAATTTTTACATTTTCATTATGATTCCGTTGTTGTAACTTTGGTTTTTTATTTGTTGTTTTAGGTTATCTAAAATTTCAAAGTTTTTTTCACCAAATGTTGTGCTCATTGCAATGATATTAACTTTCAATTAATTCTTGCGATTCTATTCTCAATCCAAGAGATAGAAATACTGAAATACCACGAACGGCATTTAGCGGTTGTTTTGGAGACAGGTACACTAGCAGTGTACTCGGAACGACCACGGTTGGAGTCCAAATCAGACTACTCTTGGTGGTGTGTCCTCGGGTTGCACCTATGGGCTGGGTTGCACCCATCATGTTCATTGTTTTTCCTAAGGAAGTGCAAATGGAAAGACTATGCATAAGGACAAACTGGCAGCCCAAATATATGGCAATTAACGGTGTACACCTTTTAATCTTGAGTTTTTGTTCCATATCGGGTTTTCCTGATACCTGAGCTCGAACTCGAAGTCTAGAGGTGCACCGTTTAAATTCCTTAGTTATTAATGTCAAATATTTTTTTCCCATTGATAGCTTATCCTTAAAATATGATGTATCGTGTATTTTGTAAATTTCGGAAATGTAAAGTACAATATCATATAAAAAAAATATATAATTATAAAGCATTTACTTCTAATATTTTGTACTACATGAATTATTTACTCACACTCAATACTGTTGAAATATCAAAATATCATACACAAAGATGCATATCCAAATTCGATGTACATTGAGAAATATAACTCGTAAATAAATATTGTGTTATCATTACGATTAAATAATAAAATCTACAACTAACAACATTCAAATTCCTATTTTCTTATGAATCGTCTTCACAGATAAAATTTCACAATGTTTACTTAATTACACATTGGTCTACTCTACTCAAGTTCAAAAACAGTATGAATATGTAGGTGTAGACTTTCGGATACTTACACGCGCATTTGAGTAGCAAAACATTTGAATAATATTGTAAATGCCCGGCCCGCCGAGGACAAATTCGCGTTTGGGAAATGCATTTCGAAAAACGCATTTCCCAAACGTGTTTTTGTCGCCGGCTAATCGCCGGACGACCGGCGATGTTCAAATACCATAGATATGATATACGAAAGCCGCATTTCTCAAATGCGACTATGTGTATACTGTAACACCCCATGTTACAGCCCATGAACCAATTAACTATTTACCCGGGAAAAAAGAAATAAACCTCATTAACTAATTAATTAAGAAAGGCCCACCATAGTCCATAGGCCCACATCCCTATAACAACCCCTTATTCCTATAGGGAATAGAACTAGCCCTAATTAGGACTCTTAGGTATATAAATAGGGGACATAGGAGGCACTTAGAACCCTCACCACAATAATCTCTCACCACACAAGAAGTTCCAAGAATCCCCCTAGGAGAAATCAAGAAAGAAGGAATCTTATAGAAAGACCCTTCATAGCCAAGGAAATTAATTAAGGCTAAGAGGTAACCCATGTCTCAACAAAACCTATTTTCCTTGCTATAATTATCTTCTTTGGCCTCCTCTCTATGGTTGTGTCGTGATGAATCGTTTATGATATTGATGATATGATCTTAATAATTGGTGAGATGATTTTATGTGTGATCTTGATGATCTTGATGATGATAAGAGGTTCTTGATGATTATGTGATGTTCTTGATGAATCTTGACGTTTCTTGATATTAAAGAGAAGAACTATGATTCTGATGATTTAAATGTGATTAGAGCCCTAGGTCAAATTGGGGATTTCGTATTGTGTTATTCTTGATATAATTGGGTGGGATTTCGCATGTTCGGGTGTTGGTTTCATTTAGAAATCATGATAGGGTGTGCTATATGATTCTTGCTTTAATTGTCTACGTGGTGTTGTCAATTACGTTTGAAAGTGTCTAAGCATGGTTTCGGGTTCTACAATGGATCCCGGGAGGTTTATTTTGATAAAGAGTCAGTGGGGGGTAGGTGGGGGTAGGGGGACCCGCCACCTACCCGCTGCCCGGAAAAGACGCCGCCGGCAGCGGGCAGGCGACTGCCCGCCGGGCACCCGTTGCCCGGAGGCTTGTCGCCGACGGGTGGTCCTCCACCCACCGGCTACCCTCTGGAATTTGCCCACCTTGGGTCTTCGGCTTCCCGTTTGATGTTTCCCCGACCCTCGTGGTGTCCCAACGGACTCCGTTTATTGTGCCTAAGTCTAGTTTGATGTTCCGGGTACCATTCGTAGGATAAAAGAGTCTTATATATCGCATGCTAGTTGAATTAGTATCCCGTTGGCCTAGGTAAAGTAAGTATGAACCCCTTAGGATTATTCCTAATATGTGGATGACCACGCATAGGTTTCATTATACGTCTTCTCCCCTTTCCCAATGTGTTAATGTGGGTTGCATGTGCTTGCTATGTGTTATGTGTGAATGATACCCCAATTTGGTTGCGATCAAATTGGTTATTCCTGAGCTGCGGTTCAGAAGCTGGCCGCGGTCAGAACTACACTCTTGGGCTGCGGTCCACCGTTTGGTTGCGATCAAACGTTTTACATGAGCTGCGGTTCATATTCCTGGCTGCGGTTAGATGATCACTCTTGGGCTGCGGTTCACTGTTTGGTTGCAATCAAACATTATGATGAGCTGCGGTTCATCGGTCGGTTGCGATCGACCCCTTCGTATTGTGATACGAGGCAGGGTGCTGCGGGGCCGTGTCAGAGCTATATGCGCTGACCCTCATGTATGGGCATGCGATTGGTCCTGTGGCGCCACCAAAGTGTGCTTGTGTGATGAGATACGAATTGAATAATTATGTGAATGGGATGAAGTGAATCTGTAACCACAGGATCTATGGTAGTATCTTTATATGCTTGGTTATAACTGTTGAACGTGTTTATCCCTATCTGTCGAGTCTATTCCTGGTTTCAAAACTAGTATCTCTTAAGTATATATCTTCCTGCTTCGAAATGATTTTCGTATATCTATATATATATATATATATATATATATATATATATATATATATATATATATATATATATATATATATATATATCTATAATGTATTTCAACGCGGGTTGAAGTGGGTTACCAGCATCTCTCGCTGAACAGATATATTTGGCTTTCAGGCACAAACGAGTAGACACTGGAGCGCGCTAAAGATCTGGGGCGTAGAGTATATAGTTTCCCTTTCGGCCTGCGTGTCATGCTTATGTATCGACATTATTGAGGATATTAGTTAGTTAGCCTGTGCAGCTGTGTAACACCCCAGATTTTCAAGACTTTTTAAAACTTATAATAAAGGTAGAATCTTATTAAATCCCAAGATATAAATACAAGCGTACGGGGTGCTATGCCACACCTGGGCTAGAGAACCCAAGTGCACAGGCTAACTAACTAATATCCTCAAAGCGTAATTACGTAAACGTAGCACGCAGGCCAAAAAGAAAAACTATCTACTTCTATACTCCAAGTTCTAGCGCGCTCTAGTGACTTAATCTTCTGTGCCTGAAAGCCAAATATATCTGTTCAGCGAGAGATGCTGGTAACCCACTCCAACGCGTTGAAATACAATACATATAGAGATATATATAGATATACGAAAACCGTTTTGAGCATGAAGATATATCCTACGAACTCTAGCTTTAAAACCGGGAATGACTCGACAGATAAGGCCAAACACAATCAACAGTTATAACAAGCATATGCAGTTCACAACAGATAAGGCAGATAAGGCAAGGCATAAACAATAATCATAACCCAACAATCCCCAACATAAATCCCATAGTCACATTCCCTAAGACACTCATAATCACAACTCATCCATATCACAACACATAGCACACTTTGTTGGCGCCACAGGACCAATCGCATGCCCATACATGAGGGTCAGCGCATATAGCTCTGACACGGCCCCGCAGCACCCTGCCCCGTATCGCAACACGGAGGGGTCGATCGCAACCGACCGATGAACCGCAGCTCATCATAGTTTGATCGCAGCCAAACAGTGGACCGCAGCCCAAGAGAATGTCATCTGACCGCAGCCAGGAAAGGATGAACCGCAGCTCATATAGTAACGTTTGATCGCAACCAAACGGTGGACCGCAGCCCAAGAGTATCAATCTGACCGCAGCCAGCTTCTGAACCGCAGCTCAGGATAACCAATCCGATCGCAACCGAATTGGGGTAACACACACACATAATACATAGCAAGCACATGCAACCCACATTACACATTGGGAAGGGGGATAAAACGTATAACAAAACCTATGCGTGATCCATCACATACTAAGAATAGTCCTAAGGGGTTCATACTCCTTCCACCTAGGTCAACGGGATAGCAATTCAACTAGCATGCAATATAATAGACTCATAAACCTACGAACAGTACCCGAAATATCAAACTAGACATAGGCACGATAAACGGAGTCCGTTGGGACACCACGGGGAACAGGGGAACATCAAACGGGGAAGCCGGGGTCCCGAATTGGGGGAATTTCCAGCGGGTAGCCGATGGGTGGGGGGCCACCCGCCGGCTGCCCGCCGGTAATACTGTTCCGGGCAGCGGGTCGCCGGCGGGCAGTTGCCCGCCCGCCGGCTGCCCGCTGCCGGAAACACCCTTCTTGGCCGTGGGTAGGTGGCGGGTCCCCTACCCCCCACTGACTCTTTTCACACAAATTACGCCCCGGGAACCGTTGTGGAACCCGAAACCATGCTTAGACACTTTACAACGCAATTAACGACAACACGTAGACAATTAACGGGTCAAATATGAGAAACGAACGGCACATAACCTATCATGATTTTCTAAACATAATCAACACCCAAACATGCAATTTCCCCACCCGATAATCCAAGAATAATATCATACGATACAACCTAGGGTTCTAATCACTTTTATATCAACAAGAATACGATTCGTCTTCTAATTGCAAGATTCGGTAAGAATAACACATAAGCATCAAGAGCATCACACAATTATCAAGAACAACACATAATCATCAAGAACTCCATATAATCATCAAGAACACCATAATTAACAAGCATCTCCCAATATCAAGATTATCAAGATCCCTCATGGGATCATCACATCAAGCATCAATAATAATCATCAGATCTCGCCATTCACAATAATATGGGGGAAACCCTAAGGGGGAATCATAGCTATGAAAATAGGTTTTGTTGAGACATGGGTTACCTCTTAGCCTTAATTAATTCCTTGGCTATGAAGGATCTTTCTTTAAGCTTTCTTGATTTCTTGATTTCTCCTAGGGGAATTCTTGGAGCTCTTTGGGTGTTGAGAGATTATTGTGGTGGGGATTCTAGATGCCTTCTAAGTTCCCTATTTATATGCTATGGGGTCTAATTCTCCTAGGATTAGGTATTGGGCTTAGAGATGGGGGGCCCATGGACCATGGTGGGCTTAATGCTAATTAATCATTGTGATTTATTTCTTTTCTTTTTGGGTAGATGGTTAATTAATTAATTGGTTTTAGGACTCGTAACACGGGGCGTTACACTTTCCCCCCTTAACAGGAAGCTTCGTCCCCGAAGCTTGGCCCTTGGTGAAAGGTTTTTCCCTTAGTTACCTGGTGTGAAAAGCTCGGGATACCGCTCCTTCATTGCGTCCTTAAGTTCCCATGTTGCTTCCTCGGTCCCGTGGTTGGTCCAGAGGACTTTTACCATTTCTATGGCTCGGTTCCGGGTGTTTCTCGTCTTGGTGTCCAGGATTCTTACGGGTTTCTCTTCGTATATCAGTGACTCGTCGAGGTCTACGACCTCGGATTGGAGTACGTTGCTTGTATATATATATATTGTATTTCACGCGTTGGAGTGGGTTACCAGCATCTCTCGCTGAACAGATATATTTGGCTTTCAGGCATGGACGAGTAGACCACTGGAGCGCGCTAAAAGTTGGGGGCGTAGATTGGATAGTTCTTCCCTTTCGGCCTGCGTGCCATAATTTGCATTGATACTAATTGAGATTGTTAGAATCTAGCCCGTGCACCTGAGTTCTCTAACTCAGGTGTGGCATAACACCCCGTATTCTTATAAACGTATTTTAGATTTATGATCATTTACCTTCATTATATCGTCTTTAAAAGTTTTCAAATTTCGGGGTGTTACAGTTGGTATCAGAGCCTAAGTCTGACCCTAGGATAAGACTATTAAGACCAGACCTTAGGACGTAGACTTGAACTCTAGGAACATAGGACTCGGGAATCTTAGGACGTGCGGTGAGATTGTGAAACCTACACATAACCCCCTACACTTTATCCCTCCCTCATCTAAAGAAAACTTTCCCCCGCTTATCACATCATAAGAAGAGCACCGAACCCTAATTTAACATTCTTATGAAACGTTGACCCAGAAAGACGATACCATGGCACCGAACAGAAGACAGTCAAGGACTCCAGAACCCGCCACATATGACCACTTGACCCAGACCCTACAACAACTAACACAAGTCGCACAGGCGCTAAGTGACGTAGCCCTTCGCAACAACAGACCCCCACCACCTCCATCAAACGCGAACTCGGACATCGCCCGACAAGTTTCAAATCACCGACCCCCCACGTTCTCAGGGGAAGAGGACCCCACGATCCTAGAAGAATGGATCCGGACCCTTGAAAAAATTCTAGGGGTAGTAGAATGTCCGGAAGAACGTCGCGTAGAAATAGCCTCGTTCTACTTCGGACACGAGGCCGATCTCTGGTGGATCCACGAGGGGCCCGCTTACCGACAAGAACCGGGGTTCGGCTGGGAAAGCCTCAAGGCACGACTACGAGAACGGTTCTATCCAACACACGTAAAGGCATCCATGTACGAAGAGTTTCTCCATCTGAAACAAGGGACGGCCACCGTCATGGAGTACCATAAACGATTTCTCGAACTAGCACGCTTCGCACCAGAACTAGTCCCCGCCGAGGTGACCAAAATAGAAAGATTCGTATCGGGCCTCAACTTCGAAGCCCGAAAGGCACTAGTGGTGAGCAGACCTCGGACCCTCAATGAGGCTTACTCCAGTGCCGCAAATCTCTATCGAATCCAACTACTCCAACGTGGGGTTCAGGAACAAATACAAAAGAGAAACACCGGAGGTGGAGCACCACCTATAAAAAGGACAAGAAACGACACCGGCACAAGACCGAGCAATCTGACCAATCAAAGGCCGCCCATGGGGAACAATGAAGCTAATACAAGAAGCTTCCCTTGCCCGAAATGCAACAAAAGCCATAGAGGCAAGGATTGCATGGGCAACCCCTGGCGATGCTTCAACTGCGGAGGAGAAGGGCACAAGGCCTTCCAATGCACTCAGCCCCAAAGACCGCGCCCCACCACCATGGGTCAACACGGGGGTATCGGCCACCAAGAAAACTACGGCGCTCCTGGGAAAATATTTGTTATGAGCCGCACTCAAGCCGACCTCGGGAACGAGGATGACCTCGAAGAGGGAAACCAACCCAGGAAAGCGAGGACCATGCAAACCCCACAGAAGAAAATCAAGAGGACGAATTCTGTTTAGGATAAGCCGTCAAACCCCTTGTAAACACCCCCTTTCGTAGAACCGCTTACTTAGCTTAGTTATTTCGGAATTATTATAAATAAAGACTTTGATCGAATTTCGATTTCACTTACGGGGGTAAAAACATAACTTATACCAACAACCCAAACCTTCCCCCACTAAAGGACAAAAGAAGGAAAATGATAAAAACCACACCATCAAGAAATACCTAATGTTACCAATGGGGATTGAACTCTAGACCTCCCACTTATAAGACTAAGTTCTTAACCACTAGGCTATGA